AAGTACACGCGTGTGTTGATGACTCATTTCAATACCGCATCAGAATCATCATCATGAGCACAGGTGCATCCCTACAAAATAAAATATAAGAATAAAATAAGATACTAACACATTTGAACATTAATAATTCATGTGTAATACTAGTAATAGTATATATACAGTACATGTATATATGTACCTACAGTATACTATATTATTACAGTACTTTACATGTCATTTACTCAAAGCGACTTACAATAAGTAAGGAAACAAACTCGGTGTGCGAGGAAGCAGAAGAGGGGCAAGCGCGGAGGTATCCGAACCAGGCTAGCGGCTAGCCCAACTCGCCCAGCCGTAGCATCCATCATCATGGCTAACGCACGATCCTTGGACAACAAAATGGACCACATACGACTACTGAGATCAGCGAATCGGACAGTGAGTGACTGCTGTGTGCTGGTTTTCACTGAAACATGGCTAAACGACAACATCCCCGACTCCGCTGTACATCTTGAGCAGCTAGCATAGCTATGGAGAGGACAGAGCCCACGTTAACGGAGGTAAACAACGCGGTGGAGGAGTTTGGGATGCGTGGTGCCAGGACGCTGTGGTAGTATGCAGACATTGTTCACCACTGGCGGAGTTCATGATCACAAAGTGCCGTCCTTTCTATCTGCCGAGGGAATTTACTGCGGTCTTGCTAATCGCGGTATACATCCCTCCAACAGACCGCGCGCCCAGATGGATTGAATATCGTCGCCGGAGATTTTAATCATGCTAATCTTAAAACTGTAACAACCAAAACTCCATCAGCAAGGGAGAAAAACACCTTGGACTTGGTCTACACCTCACGCAAAGGAGCATGCGAGGCCTCCCCCCTCCCCCACATCGGACTTTCCCACCACATCACTGTCATGCTAATGCCAGCATACAGGCCCAGGGTGAAAGTGGAAAAACCGCTTGGGAAAGAGATTTCCGTGTGGCCGGATGGATCAATGTGTGCTCTTCAGGAGTGTCTTGCGACAACAGACTGGGACATGTTCAAGCAAGCAGCTACACACAACAACCACATAGACAACGAGGAGCTTACAGACACCGTCTGCTCTTACATCCGCAAATGCATAGATGATGTGACCCACACAAAGACCATCATCACTCGGGCTAACAAGAAGCCATGGCCGACAGGAGCTGTCCATCGGCTGCTGAGGGCCAGAGACGAAGCCCTCAGAGCCAGGTCATCCACCGGGGCACCATTGAAAGCATCGTGTCCAGCTGCATCACTGCGTGGGGCAGTAGCTGTACTGAACGCAGCAGGGAAGCACTGCAACGCATCGTGAACACAGCTGGTAAGATCATTGGTGCCCCACTCCCACTCCCTTCCTTCAAAGACATATACACCACCCGCCTCACCCGGAGAGCTACCTCGATTGCGAGTGACACCAGCCACACAGTCTGTTCAGCCTCCTGCCCTCTGGAAGAAGGTATCGGAGCCTCCGCACCACCAGACTCAGAGACAGCTTCATGCACCAAGCTGTCAGAAAGCTAAATTCTCTCCCCTCACCCCCCCAGCCATATCCGTCAGTCTGACATGGGGCTGAAATCCCCCCCCCCCTTTAATCACTCATGACTCTGCAACAAAACTGTCTCTTGCACTTTTATCACTTACGTTTCCTTTATTTTCATTTTTTTAATCTATATGAATATCTGTATGCATCTAAATGTCTTGTCTTATCTGTTGTTGTACCTATGCACTTTATATGTTTCACCGCGGGAGAGTGGGAAACGTTTTTATTGATTCCTTGTAGGTCTGACATGCAGGAAATTGACAATAAAGCTACTTTGACTTTGAGATCAAGAAACAAGAAAGTGCAATTTCATCAAATAAGCAGATTTACAACTTGCTATAGTTAAGTACAATAAGTACAATTTAAGTGCTACAATAAAACGTGTATATATCTATATATGTCTATATATATATATATATATATATATATATATATATATATATATGACATATACACGTATTTGAATTGAATTTCAAAGATTCTCTGTTTGCTCTGTTTTAGTCACCATCACTGTCTCTCTCTAATGTGTCCTCTATGTGGTGAGAAATGGTGTCACAATTACCCCAAAGTGACACGTATGCAAAGTTTGTTTGGTCCAAACCTCAATATTCTTACTAATACACAAACATTATTTATTATATGCTGAAACCTTTCTGATTGAAAACCGTTATTCATCAACTCAACGTACGTAAAACTCTAAATGTATAAAGTGACTCAAGCTGCAGATGAAGGTGGAATAAATATGATGTTATTCTCTCAACATGCTGAAGCTTCATTACAGGTCATTTAGCTGATGCTTTTATCCAAAGCGATTACATTTTTAACTCCTGGCTTTTAGGGGTCATGTGTCTTGCTCAGGGACACTTCAGCATGGGACATGGAGCAGCCGGGGTTGAACCGCCAACCTTGCGGATTCCAGCGCACCCTCGACTCTTACTTGTTGATCGTCTTGGTGGTTTATATTGGTTTTATTTGCACTCGATACGTTTGGACTCATTTGCTGGAAAACAAAGTCTTTCTTGATGAAGTTTGATCTTTTCTTGGAAATATAAGAAGTACTTATACGTAGACTTATGTACATGTGTACTAGTGTACACAACAATTAAAAAAACTAACAAATAATTCACAACATTCAATTCCACAAGTCACCTTTCTCTGTGTCCTTTCTTGTCTTTTTCAGAGAGACATTTGGGGGTCAAACTTTGACAGAAAAATACCCGACTCATCAAAAGGCTCTTAGACTCTAAGACATGTTCATTTAGGAAACAAGGTAAGAGGGACATTTGTTGGTCCACATGTGGATAAAAAGGTCAGGTGATCACTGAGGAACCATCAGTGTATCAGGTGATGACATCAGCACCTCAGTGGGTGGAGGTCAACTTCACCTGTTACCTGAACAACTCCACCAGCTCCACCCAAGTGAAACAGAGTTATTAAGAAGTATTTAAAACACACACACACACACACACACACACACACATACACACACACACACACACATACACACACATATACACACACACACACACACACATACACACACACACACACACATACACACACACACACACACATATACACACACACACACACACACACACACACATATACACACACACACACACACATACACACACACACACACACATACACACACACACACACACGCACACGCACACACACACGCACGCACGCACACACACACATACACACCCACACCCACACGCACACGCACACGCACACATCCACACACACACACACACACACAAGCAGGCTTCTTTACTGGCTTTTCTTACCCACAATCCTTTGCACAGCAGATGTAGGAGCCAGAGGGTTCAAGGTGCCATGTGATGAGGAAGTAGAATCCTTCATGTAACAACATGTACTTTGTGAGGAAGCTGCAGTAAATGATTCAACACGCAGCTTCACACTGATACGTGGGCGAGTTGTTCCGCCCCGACAGGTTCAACCTGAAGTGGAGAGAAGAATAACTGCTCAAAAAAAAGAAAATGGCCGACTGTCTGTCTGTTATCTGTGAAAAACGCAATATTTTAAGAAAGCATCAGCATTTGAGTGCATTTCGATGGCATTTCTAGCGAGAAGTCTGCGTTATATTTTCATAATCTTCTATCAGAGAACGTAGACGACCTTCCGTTAATTAGTTTCTAGTGACGTAGTTGCAAGGCGATGTAAATGAATGGGCCAAATAAAACGTAGTATGTCACAATTTTGGAGAGAAAGCGTGACAATACCACGTTCCACAGCTACACGTTTTGCTGTGAGACTGGTTGCGAATAAAAACACTCTGAGCTCAGACTCTGTTGTCTTAGTGGATGTTTTTATTCAATATGAACTCTTCACAACATTTGTTACAAAGGTTTCTGCTTCATCACGTGTTCCCTACTAGTCTACATGTAGAAGAAGACCAGGAGACAAGGAGGGACGTGCACCAGTCAGACTGTATACTTTGATGGTGACGTGAGGACGCACCCTCTCTGATGAAGGACAACAAGCTCCAACAAGCTGCGTCACTTCACTCCGTCTGATGGAAGCTGAAGTGAAGCACGGAGCTGCTTTTCTACACAGACCTGCTGAGGACAGAAGAGAGCTGCTCACTGAGGAAGTTCATGTCTACGAGCTCAGTAAGTGCAGCTGTGATTGGTTGAATGACATCGTTGATGCTTGTGAACGTGTGATTGTTTAAAGCTGGGAAACAAGATGGCGCCTGTGTGAGCAGGCAGAGAGGAGCTGCTGTTAGTCTGAATGATGACGCTGTGATGAAGAAGAGGAGCTCAGTCTGATCTGGGGTCTGTTAGGACTATTACTGATGAGGAGGGAAAGGTAGCAGACGGGGGGCACTAGGACCCAGCAGGGACCACAGAGCTCACCTGGGCCTTTGTTCTTCAAACACACCTGACAGACGCTCTGTTTGCTCCACAGAACACATCTAGTCACTTTTTAGAGTGTTTGACTGTCAACGATGAAGAGAGGAAGGTAGCAGACGGAGGGGCACTATATATTTTTTATTTATTTTTGAGGTCTTATATTTTTCAGATATTTTTGGATACAAATGTTTTTGACTTTTGGCCCTGATATGGCTTAGGGGGCGTGGCATCAGCTGAAAGGGGCGTGGCATCATGATTGACAGCTTAACAAAGAAGGCAGAAAACCTTCCTCAACGCGTTGCCTTTAGGAAATCTGGAATTATGAATCAACACTTTTAGTCACCATATTCACTTATTTAGTTCTATCAACCTCAAACTGCTTCATATTTCTAATCTTGATGAAACACGACCTTTCAAACAGAGTCGTGCCCCCAAAGACATTATAGCACCTAATGCACATCCTTACTACGTAAATATATATATATATTATCTTTACTTGTTGGAGAGGAAGTGCAGATAAGCCGTTCATAGATCAGACATCAGGACTCCTGATCGTAACCACACCAACAATGGAGAAAAACCCGTTCACACACACATCTACACACATCAACACACAAACACACACCCATCTGGTACGACTGGTTTACCTCATGTTGGAAAATACCTCAAGTCAGAGGGTTCAAGTTGTTTTAGCCGTTCCAAATATCCACTGTGGGTTCCTTCAGTCAAAGACGTCCTGCTCTCTGCGACAAGCTGTCGGATGACTGGACGTCCTTCACGTGTGTCCACATTCAGAAAGCAAGCTCACACGTATCTGCTGTCACATGCTTATGGTTCATCACTGTGTGTGTTTAGCTGTTCCTGTTTGATTGTGTTTATATCGCTATACACCATGTTCACGTGATCGGGTAGAGCAGACTCCATCACATGGATGCTACGCTGCGTTCACAGTGGTTCAGAGATTCAAACGTGGTTTGTTGAACGCTACTATCTGAGTTTATTGCTCTTATTCTGTGATTCGTGTTAAAACAGCTCGCTAAGTAGAACTTTGTCACTGGTGTAAATTGTCTTACTGCCAATCACATGAATGTGGTGTATAGAGAGTGTGGATTCATAATTACCACAGTGCCTACGCTTCCTGAAGGCAACACGGTTGAGGAAACTTTTCAGCCTTCTTTGTTAAGCTGTCACTCATGATGACACGCCCCTCTGGGTTGATGCCACGCCCCCTTATCAGGACCAAAAGCCTGACAGTGAAAAAACGATTGAACAGTTGAATCGGAAAATATGAAATCTACAACTGAATAATGAAAAGAACCTAAATATCTATATATATATATATATATATATATATATAGAAAATATTGTGATTATATATCTAGAAAATAATGAAAATAAATTATATATAGAAAATAATGTAATTATTTATCTAGAAAATAATGAAAATAAATATTTTATAAGAACTAAATCATCTTAATTTTATTTTGAATACGTTTTTTTTCAATTCTCTTTTTCGAAAGATCAAAAGCTTTGTCCTGGATTTGGCTCCATCTACTTCCTGCTTCATGATTAGTTTGATTATGAATTGAGTTTGTTTGATGAATACAAATTACACGGCATTTCTGTTGTTGCAGGTGAAGCTGTGAACCACCTTCACACTTCCCCAATATTCACAGATTCAACCAACTTGTGTCCACAAAGAGGACGCTGACTTCATCAGAGGTGCTTAGAAAGAGAGGGAAGAATTTTATTTGATTGTGTATCAAAACCAATGAACCGATAAAACTCCATTGTTAAAACACGATTCTTTTTAAATGCAGAGCAGTAATTGTTCTGTGTGAATGATATTTATTTGGGTGTCTTTAAAAAGGCCAGATGGAGAAAGTCAAGAAGGAGATCCTCATCATTTTAAAGGAGCTCAAGGAGGAGGACTTCAAAGAGTTCAAGTGGCACCTGAACCACCCAAGCCCAGAAGACCACCGATCAATCCCACGCAGTGACCTGGAGAACAAAGACAGGATGGACACGGTGGACCTGATGGAGCAGTACTACGGCAAAGACTCTGTTCAGGTGGCCGTGGAGGTTTTGAAAGAGATTCAAAGGAACGATCTGGCCGAAAAATTATCCAAAATGAACTTTTACACTACGGGTAAGTTGTTAAAAAGCGGAAGAAAGACATCAGATGTGTACAATAAAGATACAACAGATTATTCATGTTAATACCATCCTTAACAAATGTTAATAATAGCGGGGCACCACCCTTGGATTAGGGATTAAAAACTATAACTATAGTATAGCTGTAAACTATAAAGTCTCATAATGGGTGTTCACTCATTAAGCGAAACTATTCCACTATTAAGTGTAGATTTTAATTTCAGCACAGGCTAAATATACCAGCTATTATCACTCTACAAATGCACAAAGTAAACACAGAAAACATCTTGTTTCAGGCGAACCGAATCCTGTGGGAGGAGATGGAGGTCAAGGTGAAGAGACTTTTTGTACCACCATCTAATTATTGCACACTTCAATTATTTCCGTGGTCATATTCAATCAATCAACTTTATTCCACACACAGAGGTCCATAGAGAATACATACACATAAAAAACAACAATACAAACAACATTTAAGAATGATGCAGACGAGGCATCAATTATAAAAATTTATACAGGCTTCGGGTCCAATGTCTCCAGAAGCACGATGTGTACCTTGTGTCACTCTTGGAGACATCCACTAA